CACACACACCCCCCCACACACACACACACACACACACACACACACACACACACACACACACACACACACACACACACACACACACACTTCGTGGATGGGAAACTTATGTGGGATCCATAAAAGACAAAATTTTCTCTCGTTTGGGTGCACAGAGAACTCAACGTTCGATAGTCCTGTGGTAATAAGATAACGCTCGATTTTTTTCTATGACGCTCGCACCACTTATACTACTCCAGTGTAATAGTTCTTTGTTAAGAAGCAGTGTTCGGATCGTGTCGAGACTCGACGGTGTTCCGTGTATTTCCCGCATTGCGATGCAGCTCGTCGCGTTGCTTTTCAAGTAGTCCTTCTTCTGTCCCTTCGTGTACAACCATATTTATCTAACGCGTAATTACGCGTCCGAGTTCCGTGGAAAAGTGGCAAACGGAGGAGGAAGGAAGTCGCGAGAGATGTAACGGAGAAGTTAAAACGTTGAGACTAAGTTAAAACCGGAGCGGACGGCGGGGTGTTTAAAGTTTCTGAGTAAAGTTCAGCTTGTCACATCTTGCGATGATTAGATCAGGGCTCAGTCTCTCTTTTTCGAGTCCTTAACTAAGGAGGAACTTCCATTCTGTTGTCGCGTGGATGCCGATGATGAGTGAACGTGAGTCGCAAGTACAATTTTATTTGGGAAAGTCTGGAAGCATTGTACTAACTATTTACGATTATCAATGTCTTTTCTGATGTTAAATGGTAGCTGCAGCAATAAGATTTATGGGCTCATCAAGTTTAATATATCTATATAATCTCGATTTTTGTAATATTATTTTATAGCACAAAATTTTTATTTATCGAGAATTTATGCTTAAATATAAAACGCTTAATATATAAAACCGTTCAAGACAATATGAGAAATATCGTTCATTTACAATAATCACATCAGAAAACAAAGACTTCCAAAAAATAAATTTAAATGTTTTGAATGATTACAATTATGGCATATTAATCTTAAAGTGCACAGTTTTGGTATAATAATTAATCGTAGAGAAATAAAATTATATTTTTTTCTTTACATTTTCATTTTTTTTCTATCGACTAAATATAGATATAAATATAATTGACTAAAAAAATGACATTTTTTGAATTATATTGTAGCAAATGAATAATATTATTAATATTATTATTATATGAAGTAATCTCAAGCACTATCTAGATTGATATAGTAAGCTTCACAATTAGCACATATGTCGACAAAGTAGCAATCGCGTAATTGCACGCAAACAGCGTTCGCCAACAATTTCGAATGTTCTTCCGCGTTTTCAAAGGAAGTTCAGCACTTTGTACTCGTATCACGCGATCGTTTAAAGCAATCGGCCGTCTGCCACGAACAGTTCCGTATTTCCGAATCAACTGAGAGCCCGCGCATTGCTATCCACAATATCCCACGCTGGTCGCGCGAATTTCGCGGACACGGTTTCGTCTATAGCGTATTTCAATGAAACTCGATTATCGCACGATTTTATCATCGTGCCCGAGGCCAGGTGCGAGATCGTGCACCGCAATAGAACGTAACTACGTACACATAGATACGTCCAATTTCCGCCGAGGAATTACCTCTCCTCTACCAGATTCTAAGACACGGTCAGGTCGGTCGTAACCGCGGCTTAACTTGCTATCGTCACACCACGCTTCTCCCACGATGAAACTACAACTTTCTTCTCATTTCTCTTTTACTATTACACTTTTTTAACGAGTGTACAATCTCTTGATGTATGGGAATTTTTCTTGTAATTATCGGATTTCTCCGTGTAAAGTATCCCCATCTTATTTGCCTGATTTTTATTCTCTTTTTTTATTTCCCTTAATGACCGTTGCGGTTTCACCAAATTGCAACAAATGGTTGTGTCCTAGTTTTATATATATAATTATATATACTTCTTATTGTCGTATTAACGTTTTTGTCGCGATAAAGTGTCCTTTGGAACTTAAATTTTGTTTTGTTACAAGCTGAGAAGATGAAACACTCTTGTTTCGTTTTATTTCATTCTTTGAAATATTATCGCTCGATTGCTTCGATTCAAGAAAAAACTTTATCTTTTATATTATGAGAGGTAAATAATTAATTCAATAATGAAATCTATATTGAATTTACGACATTTCTTCGACATAGCATGTTTTTGCGCTCGCCTTCCTCTACCCTCATCTTCGCGCATTTGAACGGAATCTTATTGCGCACATCGCGCCTTCTCGCTAAATCTTCGAAAGAGATGAGGGGGAGGGGGGGGGGGGGGGGGGGGGGAGGGGAGGAGTATGAACGTGGGTGCGTTGTACCGTCGTCCCGAGTGTAATTTTATTATCTCATGCTCCTTTCCAACACCCCATCTCACCCTGTGAAATCTTTCCTTCACCCTCGTCGCTAGGCGCATTACGCGCCTGTTATTTAAGCAGTATTTTACCTTCGGTCTTTTTCTCTCTTTCCTTTTCCATTCCTAGCCTAGTGGTCTTCGTCATTCTCCGTCTTCGGCTTTTACGTAGAAGAGGTTTCTCCTCGGTCTCACTCTCGTCTTTGCTACGGTAAAATTATGCAAGGGAAAGCGACGATGGCTATCTCATCGTACAAGCGACGCTTTTCTTCGTCGTTGCTGCGGCGCCTTGTATTCCCTCCGAGACGCCTCTTTCGTTTTACACCGAGAAGTGTGTCTCGCGTGGATAAGGCTACTGTCGGTAGTTCGCGGACTTTACACCTTCTGGGCGATTGCTCAAGGAAACGCCCTGGTGTCGTGAGGCTATACGAGCGGTAAAAAAACGAATTTTGTCACATTTTTTTCTCGTGAACACGCTTATCTTACTTTCTTCCTATGAACGTGTGACGATCAAAGTGCGATTAATGCTAGTATCAATAAATCACGAATCAAATTTCAGAATTTTTATTATCCTGACTCAAAAAAATTTCGAGGCAAATTTCGTCTCTTATATAATTAATAATAATTTAAATATTTATTTTATATTTAATTTATTTTATCAATTATCAATTTAGAATATTACGTAGAGTTACTTTATTCTATTAATGTTTAATTGTACTCGTATAAATATATGAACGTAGAAATTGAATTTAAGATAGAAATGAAAATAAAGTTAAAATATTCCATAAAACTTGTTATTGTAAGAAATAATTTTTTCTTAAATATTCAACATATTTTATATTCACATATGTATATTTGATCATTTTAATGAATAGAATATTCTGTAAGATGATGCTAGCCATTTATGCAAATTATAATTATAGTATATAATTAAAGATTAGTGAAAAGCTGATATTCCATGAAATATATATGTGACTTGTTGGACAAAGAAACGGATTTATAAATTTTAATGGCGAAAGATTTTTATGCAGCTTGTAACGAAGCGTCCGTTTTATAAATTTTGATGTATTCTTTCTGTTAGATTACGCAGAGAAATTGCACAGTTTCGCCTTTCTGTTATTTCTCACTTAACAGCATTAAAGAATTGAAAGTTTTAGCAAGTCTTGCTTCGACGTTATTCGTCTTTTACTCACAATGAGACAATTATATAAGAAATTTTATGTAAATATTTCCACGACAAATTGACTTCAAATTGGTTAAGAGATCTACTCTTAATAGAGATAAAAGTACAATAGTGTGTATGTAAATATTACTTTGAATGTAATATAAATAAATTGATTAAATGATGATATATATTTTAAAACGTATATCGCAAAAATATTGGTAAAACAAATGTCGGAACATATATTCATGACTAAAAAAAATGTCTTTTGTGGCGAAGATATTCAAGTAAAACAGTATGTACTTACAATGCACGTGCAGCATCATTCGTTTGCTGACTGACGGAGGCACTCCATTGCTGGCGATGCACAGGTAGGCGCCCATCTCGCCCCTCGTTACTTTCGACAAAGTCAGCACTTCGCCCTCTGCACTGGGTACTGCAATATGCAAACACGAGGGGCAGTTTCAGAAGTTAGCTCGTTACGTAATCAAAGTGTGCAACATTAATACCCGATCGACTTAACAGATTAACTAGTATAGACACGTAAATGTCCACGTCGAAATTCGCTATTATCGCACATTAAATTTATTTTTGATATGATCTATTATAATTATTATTTAATCTTTTGGGGATTGGAGTTCTCTAACAAAATAATTTATAGAAGCTCATTCGGGGTCATTGAATTCGATTCTGACCCCAAAATTCTAAAATTACATAAGATTTCAAAGAAATCATCTGATTATCATGAAACTGTTTTCGGAGATTCTTGATATCACTGAGTTCAAATGTAACCTAAAAACATCGAATTTCAAGGAATTTCATCAAAGATAATAGTTTTAATGAAGAAAGATCTATCCAGTGTTACAGTGCTCAAAATTAGAGTTCGAAAGTCAGTTTAGAAAATCAATACTGTTTGCGCAACACTGCACTAATGAGTTCCAAACAAAGCGAAACTAGAAACTTGATGTTACTTTGCAATTAAAAATTCCCTAAAACTGAGTTTTATAATAATCAAATTATGTTTCAAAATTTACGTTAAATTTTGAATCTATTACTTTGAATTTTTTATTTTTGACTTCAGATTTGAATAAAGTATTATCAAATTACTTCAAAGACTAAGTTTCACACAAATCAAGCGGGTTTATAAAACAAAAGAGAATGATTCCAAATGGGATCACTAAGTTAATAAAAGATTAACTATAGCGTTAAATACAAGTTAATTTTGTAAATGAAGATATATTAGTCAGCTAATAATACATATTTCAACGTATTTATCTCAGAATTATCGACTACAATTCTGGAATTTAAAATTAGCTTATCAAAGACGAAACATAATTCTCTAAATTAATTTATTTATATGTACCGGATGTACTAGTGACCTAATTGCAATTAAATTCCAATCTTCGTTGCTCGTAAATTATTCTGGTGGGAACAGTTTTAATTGCGTCGACAAATTCGCCGAAGAAAGCTTTTGGTATTGTATGTCACTATATTGTTCCCAAAGGAGAAGTAAGCGATTGACTGGCGCGAAATAAAACTTGGAAACCTTACTTTTTGTCTTGCCAGGACCGGAACGCGAAATGATTTCGGCGCCGTCTTCTCGCTTCCATACGATGTCAGGCTTGGGATAACCGCGCGCTTTGCACACCAGCTTCGCGGCACCTCCCTCGGGAACCATCATGTCGTTCGAGGTTTCCTCTGAGATGATGTCTGGCGGTATTACCACCTCCAAAAACGCGCTCTGCGAATGCGGAGGAGATAAATTATAGCGTACCTGCGTGTGTATATGCGTGTAGAGCGAAGAGAGAATATGGAGTGCTACGAAATATACAACGAAACCACCAACCGGATTAAAGCGGAGAACTCCGAGTCTGAAGTCGCAATTATAAATCAGTGAACTTGAAGTAATTTCGCGTTACAGAAACACTCTATTCGCTCGATAATTCCGTGATAATCATTAATTATTACATATCTCTGTGCACTTGTAATATAATTTTTGAAAAAGATGTGTGCGCACACGCGCGCGCATGTGGAAATTATTCTTCGAGAAATAAGTTATTTGTAAAAGTCGCATTTTATATGTAAAGAAATACTGCGTACCTGGCTCTTCATGGGATCCGTGTTGACCTGGCACATATAAATTCCGCGATCTTCCCGACGTGCACTGCGAATGTTCAACGTCCACGTGTTGTAGTCGCTGTGGGTCACCGACAGACGGGCGTTGTTCGTGATCACGTGCTCATGAATCGCTAAGATCGCCTTGGTGTCTGCTTTAATCCACGCCACCTGGCCTCACAAACCCATTTCTTAGAGACCGATTCGGAACCATTTCCCCGCCTTCCCAAAGCCTACCTAATCTTATCGCCGTGCGTAACTCATTAATTAGCTATTTCTTGTTGTCGCGGAATCTAACTAGAATCTACCGCGAGAGATATTTCGTGAAAGTGCTATTAAGTCACATTTTTTTATAGCTTCCATAACCTATACTTTAATCAATTCTTTCGGTATCTATCAGATATCATACTAGAAATATTAGAATAAAATTTCGAAAAGTATTTCTTTTTATTTCGATATAATTAAAATAAAAGTTTTTAATCTTTTAGACGGCATTTCTTGTCATTAAAAGATAACTTTTTTACTGTTGCTAAAACTGACTAATTCTAATTTTTGTAAGTGAAGAATCTATTGATGTCTATATTAATACGTATATCAATGTATAATCTTTTTGACAAGCGAAAGTACTATATTTCAATTTCTATAATACATATATTTCCATTTTTAGTTCTTAAATATAATTTATTTCACAGATCTCGAATTTACCTCCGAATTTATCTGGAATTTAATTTCAAAATGAACATTACAAATTTACAGTACTCAGTTGCCCCTAAAGAGTTAATGTAAAAATGAGCACAAGGAACGTTTAATATGCCTTAATATGCCGAATATAAATACCGAAAGAGTTAATTACTAAGTAAAATTCTAGAGTTACTTCGTTCATTGATGTTGAAGAAGAATCCAACTTTCTATTAACCTAAAGCACTTTCCTATCGCTTTTCTCGGCTTTCCCTCTACGTCAGTTACTCTTGAAATATTCGACAGTACAATCATAAACTTTCTGTCGCGATTCGCGAAATATGAACTCGATTACGATAACGTCTGCGAGACTTTGTGTAGAAAGAGAGATATAAACACGGGACGCTTTCTACTCGCGAATGAATGAAATATTCGTATACATCGCCTCGAAGGCAGGCATCAAAAGCCGGTATATTCTACGGAGGAATCTTCTCTTTATGGCGAAGTCTGCGCTACGGCTTCTCCGCCACATCCCTCGACTGAAAACTGTACCGTTGCGCGCCGCGACGGTCTGCCACTGTGTAAATATGAAGAATTCCGCGAGCAAGAACACGATAACCCATAGAACGTAACTTTTCAGAAAAATAAAAAAAGATAGCCACGAGAGATAACGGTTTAGTAGCAAAGTTCAGGTGTTTTACTCTCACAGGATATAACATTATGTTTACATCAAAAACTCGAGTGAGTTTCATTGAATATAAAAATAGTAAATAGGATAGAAATAAATGTCGACCAAACACACATATTTCGCCTGTGATCTTGCCATATTGGTATAATTTATTACAAGTTCTTCACGCTTTCGTGAATGTTCCGCAAGTTATATTACTTCTGAAGTAACTATCGTGACTGTTCCGAATGTGGGTTACCGCGCGCTTTCGCGATCCTTCGTATCATCAACGCTAAATTGAACTCTCATCGGTTATTGCAGTTCGTTCCAAGCCGCTGATATACGCCATTAATTAAACCCATTTTTTACGGATTAAAATCAATGAAAAAAAGGGGGGAAGAGAGGTTGGGCGGAGAAAGGGGTGTGAAAATGCAATCGTGTCTGGTTAACACATATTAATCGTCATTCTGCTTCACATTCTGCCCAAAGCTATCCTGAAAGAGGAAACTGCAGTGTGGCGTATCACGAATATTCATCCTCCTCCCATCTCCTGCTCTCTGCCTTATTCGCCTCCCTCTGCACAGATATTATTGGCATGAAATTGAACCTGTACCATGTCGAATATCTGACCTCACATCGCTCTGAAAGGCTATCTATCAACCGACAAAGGAGTTCCGCGGTTCTTATCGATAACCCGCGAACGGAGTGTATAGAGAGCGGACGTGGAGGGCGAAGAGAGGACAACTACGGGGGCGGTTGGGATGCGAGAGGGTGCGAGTGTTTGGTAGTGACGGCCTTGTGAGTGCCTCCACTTATAATATATTATGCCGGAGTATAAGCACGATCCTATTCTCCCTTTCGGTGCGCCTTGCGACGTTCCAAGGGGATGAGGGGTGGTAAAGCTCCTCTCGCATCCCAAAGAGGGGAATGAAAAAGTCGCCGCGACCGACAGATGCTTGCGACTCTCAAACATTTATGTCATATTGCCGTCAATTCATTTTCCTGATGATTAATTGTTGTGGACTGAAATGGAAGAAGAAAGGAAAAAAGAGAAAGCTGAAAACATTCTTGTGTGCGGAACAATGTACATGTATTTTAAGCTTTTCGAAATTAAAATGTCAAAAATACGCTTTAGAAATGAATAAAACATAAGAGATAAAAAATGAAATTTGTGAAACTTATAAAATTTATGATGTTTAATGTCTATGGGAGCCGCTTCCCCCCCCCCTCCCCCCTCCCATAGATAACATTAAATATGTTATCTAGTTATCTAGAAATATTTAGGTTATTTAGAAATATCAATATAACAATATGAAACTGAAAAAAATTATTTTTTAGTCAAATTATTGTCAAATAAAGATGATCAGCAAATAATTTCTTCGTGAAGCTTTTCGCAAAACTCTGTAACAGATTTTTCATGAATATGCGATATGAAAATCGCTTTCAGAAGTGAAAGAACGTATCCATAGCAACGCGAGTCGGATAGTATCGTGCGAGCAACTACGGCGGCAACTCGAAGGCGTGCACAATACGTCGCTTCGTATCCGAAAGTTGAAACTCGCAAACCGAGCGATCTCGCGATCCTGCTGTGCCCCCAAAAAGAAAAATTCTGTACACCAAAACGAAAACCGTCATTTTTCCCTTTCCCTCTTTAGGACACGCAGCATCGTGCACATGTCTTTTCGAGCAAAAATGGGTCAGTCGAATTTGCAGCACAATGAAGGAAGCAAAGGATTTAAAGTAGGGAGGAAGATGGGAGAGGACAACCGAGATCTTAAAGGGCACGTCGTGCCTTGTATGGAAACGAGCCTCTATCTTAATGCAAAAACGTCCTCTTTATCTAATGCAGTTTCCTCCCAGAATAGATACTGTCGGCTTACGATTTTCCTCCCTCTTCCTTCTTCAGGCCTCCGATCTTCGTGGACCTTTAAGAAGGAGAAACCGCGAAGGAATCCAGTGATAACGGAACAGACGGATAGATAGACGTAAAGAGAGATTCGGGGATGAGAGAGCGACGGCGAGAGGATGGGTTAACTTTCCTAGTCCGATATAATATCGCGTTACGTACACCTACTACCCCTTCCCCCGGCCTTTGGCTTCACGTTCCCTCCATTCTCGGTCCTCTTTCATATGCAAAACTATCGTCGGCGCTCCATTGTGGCGCATTGTGGGATCGGGAGCCTCGGTCCAGTCTACTACACCTCGTTTATTTCCTGCCGTTCTCCTCCGCGCCTCTTCAGAATCCCTCATCACAGCTCACCTAACTCTTCATCCTTTCTCATCTTTCGCGTTTTATTCGTAGCTTTCCAATGCCGTCACTCACTTACATAGCGCGACTTCTTATTTTCTTGAGTTTCGACCGACAAAGTACGATTGTTCCCTTTTTTAGCGGCGTATAGTATATATAAATGGATAAATTTGCTAATTAAAAGTTTCGTGGCTCCCCTCCTCCTTCTTGCTTCCCATCCTAACGCTCACTGTTGGATAACTCGGTTGGAGTTATCTCCTTGCTTTCTACATCTTCTTCAATATCATGTCTTTGCTGTTGAAGATCGAAATACTATAGTATTATTTTGTTATTAATTAGTTTTGTACGTGTGATTATTTTTTCTTTTCGCACTCCTTTCTTACCCATTCTCATCCTTCGATAATTTTTTCAAGATGTTTTTCTTTATCATGACATTTATTTGTACCTTCAGTCCGTGAAAAGGAAAATTTTTCTTTGTATTTGGAACTTTAAAAATATGTATATATTATATAATATTAATAATATGTATTCAAATTTAGCGTTAAATTTAAAAAAAATAATTTGTAGCTACTTAAAGAAAGTATTGATTCGAGAATGTTAACCTTACATACAAACACTGCAATCTTAGATCTATTTTTACAATTTATTTTATTTCTGCACAATATTTAACAATTAAAATAAAAAAGAAAATAAGTGGAAAAGAACAAAATTGTCCAATAAAATTTTTCTAAATTAAATTATTCTGAAATTCATAGTGAAGTATTAGCATGGCAGTCATAATTTGAGAGCGTGTTCTGTATATTTATAAACGTAATTGTTAATTGTATGTATATTGCTTGTTTCATCGCGGATGTGCGCGAAATTTGAGCGCAGTGTCCAAGAACACGATAACGGCGGGTTAAATGTTAGATTTTATGGCAGAGCACAACGCCGAGCGTCGCGGCGCGGCATGGTACGGCATGGCACGGTACGGCACGCTCAACGGTACAACGAAACGCACTCATCCGCGTAGCCGCGTGCGCGGAATTCAAACGATTAACCGATCCACGTGACACGCACGTTTCGGACGAGATTACTCGTTCTAGCGTACGCTCCACGAACGTACCGGGTGATACGAATAAAAGCGTTGGTCTTGTTTGCATTTTGTGTAAGAGCGCATCGAATACGCTATAAACTGGACCCAGATGAAGCAAACAAGCGCGAACAAGCGCGAATAGACCACTCACTTCGATAAGTATTGGCGATGCTGCTCTCACTAAAGTGAGAACACTATTCATTTACGTTTGTTTGCACCTCGTCTACTTGATCTGGATCCGGCTTGAGATTACTCGCCTCGGGAGTAACGCAATCGATGTAAATGAATGAAGAAAATCGTACATTTAACATTAAATATCCGACGAGAATGTTTACAAAATTTATTTGTGCAAACATAATTTCTAAATCTTTGGTTACGCTTGTTATTCTCGATTAATTTTTCCTACTCTTAACTTTATTAATTGACAACACATCCTAGGATATAGAAGACATTTATGCATAACCTTGATACAATCAAAACTCGTACGAAAAGAGAAAGATATTCATTAGTCTCTAACTGAATCGCTAAAATTGATTGCTGTTGCTGCCGACCTATCATCACCGATCTAAACTCTATAATATTAAGTTACATATCTCCTTTATCTCTCTAATTTATAGATTACTGTTAAAAACATGCTCATGCAACCTCGTATACTCTCCGTTATCATATATTCATGCATCATTGGCATGCCTCTCGCATATAGACAGGAATTCAGTGACACGCTAAGAACAATACGTATCCAGCACGTCTCGTTCCTCGGATTCGGCAATTACTCAGGGCGCATAACACGTCCGAACAATGTGCATCTCAATCCTTCTCCAATGCAGCTTGCACCATATTTCATTTCGCACGAACATTCAAATCTCAAGTGCGTTTTATGCATTGTAAACAGACACATGTGCAAATAGAAATTGTGCATTCGTGAATAAGCCAATGTGGACCTGAATGTTTTCGTATCGGAGGGGCAAGGCACGGAACGTTTATCGTGATGTCGATTTTGGGAAATTAGTGCAATGACAAATATAAATAATTGTAATTTGCTTGAAATGAGAAAGAGTCGTTACGTCGGATAAAGAATCGAGATATATTCTGAAATGACAAGATGTTTGAATGAAAATTATATTGTATTTCTTTGGCACGAATGTGTTCGAAGCTGGAAGTAATTGCGCCTGACGCTTATAGTTATTAATTTTATCTGTCATGCCCATCATTCTTGTTTTGAAATATTCTTCGAAACTTCTCGTCTCCAGATTTCCAAATATGCTTTTATCCAACGAGGCAACAGAATCTACTCTTTTTTAAATATAAATTGTAAAGTATTGCGTATTAAAGCAAGTAAGCTAAGATTATCATAAAATTATATATCTTCAAAAACGCTATTATAAATCACTGTAATTAAAGACATAACAACAATTAATATATAACAAAATCTGAGTTTGTAAGTTATACAAGATTGTTGTGTACAAAATATTTCAGTTATTTTTTGCGATATATGATTCACTGTTGCATTCGTTAATTGTCAATCATTTAAAGCAAAGGCAGATGCTGTTGCCTAGGGCCAATCGCCGAACTACCTCGGTTTCCCAGCGGGTGCGATTAAGCATCGAAGCTTAAATCTAACAAGCGGAAAAGCCGAATACTAGGTCTTAACACCTTCGCTATAGGCTCGGGCTCGCACTGGTCGATCCGCAAGATTTGCTTAGAGCATAGGGCATACAGTTGTAAGCAGTGCACTCATTGCGCGTTTAATGTTAATTTGGACGTTATCGTTCTGCCAGTTTCTATTCAAGACGAGGAATGAAATTCAATTCGACAAAGAATCCGCTAATCGTCTTCTACAGCTCTTTTGTCTTGCAAGAAAAGTTATAGGAATAAGAAGAAGAAATGAAATTTTTTTATCAATACATACGTTAGCTTCAAATGTAAATAAAGATCACTCTGACGAAAATATGATATTTGTAGTATAGATATTTATTTACCAATTGCTTTATGTGGCTGATAATCGTATGGAGCGATTCTGTTAATGATCAAGAGCTACGAATTAATCAATTGAATTAATGGCACATGAGCTGATCGATCGCGATGATAAATTATGCATGAACATATCTCCCAGATTTTATCATTATGCACGATGTATACAGGCGAAATGTTTCTTTTGCAATAATTACGCGATTATCGTATTTTCTGGTGTTTTTTTCAGTTTGCGAATGATGGAAAGTGGTAAATATGTTGTTAAAATCACGATAATCGAAATTGTTCAGATTTTCAAAGATGACAAAGGAGGGTGATTTAATATTAATATTAACGAAATGTACACTTTGTATTTTAATAAGAAAATTTTATCGGTTAGAATTTTATTTTTTTTAGACAATAGATGTTATTTCAGTTTTAAAAAAATATTTCACATGTTACAGAAAAACAATTTTCTATTTTTATACAAAAATAAAATTGAAATATAACACATTTTCTGTTGTAAATAATTTCCTAAAAATTTTTAATTATTTATTACAACTAATAAAGTAAGAATAAATAGAAAAAAGAAGCTTTACCTATTTTATGAAATGAACAATCAGGGTATTATTATTTTCAATCTAAAGTGTTCTCTGAAATATTTTTAGTTGCGAGATTTATGAAAGATTTGTGAAAGATTGACGAAAGTAATCACGAATCTCTACGAAGCAAAATTTCCCTCTCGCTCATAGATTTCTATACGTTTAATAATGTAGAAGAACAAAGAAAAGAAATAATGAAACCGTCGCGATGATCCTTATTAGGGAGGAACGTAAACTTCCGCGTGGAGGATTGTCCGACCGTGTTAAAAGAAAGAAGTTGAAACGCGGGCGAGCCGGAAGTAATCGCATTTTCCAACAAGTTATAAACTCTGACAGTGCCAAGTTTAATTAAAACCTACGACGGTCGCGCGCACGGCGCCAAAATTTCTTTCCCCGGCGAGAGGTCTCCGTGGAGATGAGAGGAAGGGAAACCTCGGCTATCGGGAAGTTATCGGTTCAACAAGTGGAGCCGTAAAGCGCTTAATACGCCACATCGGCGATATGTTCCCGTGTGAAATCAATTTCGCTACATATAGCGGCACTGTGTGCCGGCCTTGATCAATCTTCCTTCCATTGCTGGGATCGCGCTATTACCGGGAAGTGTAAAGTGAAACTTACGCAATTACACGCGGTTCTAAGCTCTCTACAAGGTGTTCCGAAAAAAGTGCAAATAACATCATACAAGCAATCCGTTTAAAAATAACGAGTCAGAAAAAGTTATTAAAAATTTCATATAAAATTGAATTGAGATTAAAACATCTGTATATCAGAAATCTGTGTATCAGAATATTTATTAAATAATTATTATTACTTGATGTGATACATTTCGTTATCCAATTTAAAGTTTTTGCTGCGATAACTTTATTAAATTATTTTATCGACACTTGATAAAATTGATAATTATATTCAACTGAAAAAAATTAATGTGTGTTATTATTTTTACGAAAATGATTTTCCAATTTTTTGAAACTTCCTGACTGTTGGTAAACAGAAAATTAAATGTGAGAGAACTACTCAAACATCAATTTTCTGCGTTGAAATAAATTCTAAGTAATAATAAATATTTTAACATATATATATATATTTTAATAAAATCAATGCACACTGCTTGTGATCATATCTCGGACGTCCACTGGGAGAAACCGAAGAAATTTTTGCGCCAGTAATATTGGACGTGGTCTTTTGGAAAGCATGACTCCATGGAAATAGGAGTGGGCAATGTGCCCGAAAGCCATTGTCAAAAAAAAAACAATAGCTGCAACGATAGATCGGCTTTTTTGTATCCATTCATCCTCTCGCGATTCGAATTCTTTTCAGAGAAAGGACAAAGGTGGAGATCGATAGATCGATCCGAATAAATTTCATCTTGGCTATGCGACGCGTTAATATTGATAACACCGATCTCGATAAACGTTCGATCTACTTTGCGTTTCAAATCACTCTAGAACATTAGGGAGAAGATGCCATCTTAAAATATGAAACGCGAGCGTATTTCGCGATAACTACAGCTCCAACATTTTAGTTGCGGCAACTCGCGATGCATAATCCAACGACGCGAACAAAACGGGGAAGCCATTATTACGATGCATCTTGTTTAATAAAGATTAGATGTATATAATTATTGGTTATAATAACGCGAATAACAATACGCATTCTTTCAACGCGTGAAGGCGCGATCATTAACCATTTAGTGAATAATTTCGCATGAAAGAATCCTTTCTCTTTCTCTCTCTCTCTCTCTTTCTTTTTCTCTCTCTTCGGTGTGAATTGTCGGTATTTCTCAGACGAAGTGAACGAAGAGAATGAGACAGGAGGAACGTGAAGAGACTATGAAACTTCGGTTGCTGCGTCGTAGTCGAGCAGTGCCTGTATACGGACTGATAGATGAAAATGGATGTCGTACAGAGAGATGGTTAGTGATGGTGGCTGCTCTGGCGACTGTGGTAGTATATATACTTTATATATATATATATATATATTTCTCATTTTTCATAGCTGGCGGTAGTGCAGTTAAATGCAGTGCTGTGAAGTGCAGGCACGCGCGCATATAGGTAGTATAGTGCAGTAGTAGTAGTAGTGACAGTAGTAGAGTTAGTAGTAGTAGGTAGTAGTAGATAAGGTAGTAGTCCATTACAGGCGGACACAGGTTAATGGTAAAATAGTTACCCGGGCGTTACCCTTGACGTTGCCAGAGTGATCTCCGCTCGCGGAGGAGGAAGGACTCACCCGGTATCCACCGAGGTTGTTCACCACGCAGGTGAAGGTAGCGTCTCGACCTTGCGGGATCGTTACGTTCTCCAGCGGGTAAGCGAAGTCTGGCTCTAGCCCCGTCACTGAAACAAACAATAATAATCGCGCGCTAATTCAATACGATTCTCATTCTCCATTTCATTCTGCTTTATCGTTGGAAGTTTCGCTTGAGCAAATAATTCTTTAGAAAGAAAGTATTGATTCTAAGATTTAAGGATGTCACGGTGACAGATCGAAAAATATAGTTGTCTTTAGCGTTTGCAATTGTGCTGTTAAGGAATCATTTTAAAGATAAATGAGACGGTTTTATTATATATTTTACTAAAAAATTAATATTTTTTTAGCTCTTTGTTTCTTTAAATATAGATGTTGTTTGCGATGTAAATTTAGTTTGTATCGAATTAAATTGTCAAAATACATGATTAACAACTTAATTGCTATAAAAACAATTATATTTTTCCTTCCAGCACCGTCCCCTCTCCTTTAAGATTTAAGAGTTTATTAGATAGATTAGAGATAATCGGAGGAGAAAAGGCGTTTAACATAATATTTATATTTAAAAAAGAGCATTGTGAGTTTTATTTAAACATAGTATCATTTAAACATATTGCATATTAAGATCGGTTAGTCAATTTTCGTCAGAGTAAATTGGAAAGTCGCAGTAGTTTCGTAAAAATATCCCGAGGCTTTTACCACGATACGCACTGGATATGCAGGATATTTTATGTCGTGTTATATATTCATGGAAAAAAACGGGCCTTTGTAGAAAGTTTGGCGTTATGGGCATCCAGCTATCTCATAACAGAAACTATCGTGCACTATGCGCGAATGCCTAAGTACCGGTGGATTTTTTGCGAAATGCTCAAAAGTGATAAACGAGTCAGCGACGAAACATTCCAAGCAATTTTCTCACATTTCCGAGATGTCTATAAATTCTAAAAATATATTTGTCTCAGTATTGTTGTTACCTGCATTATTTTATTAACGTAACAATATTTGCGCACAATGTAGCGATAATGAAATGATAAAAAGATATGATATTAGCAGTGATAAAATAACTCGTTTGAGAGAAATTTAAGAGCTCAAGCATATCTCTATATACTCCACATATATAGAAATCACTGTTAACATATTCAGCGGCGGGACTAAATTAATTTGTGGAATTTAAATAGTTTGTTAATGGGATCCCATTGCGGTGCATGTATTTCGCAGGCTGTAACAATCCGAATCGACAACATTTAGCCGGTTTACGATGTAAAAGTAATCAACGTGGAATTAACACCTGTCGCTCGTGAAATAGTTTCCCGGCGAACTTTATCTCGGAACCTATATTTTGCAAATAAACGATACAGTGAAATTGCCGGAAATGTCGCTCGTTTGGTGTGAAATAGTATGTCATTCTTTTTTTTAATATTTTCTGCCTACAAGATCTATATTTTTACTTCAATATGTGGCGTAAAGATACACTTTTCTATTAACCGTACAAAACAAAAGTAGATATGTTTTATCATCTATTATTTTCATTTAGGATTAAATATTAATAGCCTGCTGTTACAAATACGTAATATTAATAAATATATACATATAAATTATGTATATATTTATTTTGATAATTTTATAATGTTTTGTTGCACAATTAGTACATTATTAACTATCAAATAAATAATATATAATACGTATTTAATCGTGAACGTGTTTTATTCATGTAAACAAATATAACAATATAATATCTCATGCAGTAAGATTCGAGAATTTCCAAATTGCGACAGTAGTGAAGGCAATACAGGAAATTGGTAAGCTATGTGATGGAAATTCTATCGACTATATTTTTTCTCGCCGTGGTCGGACAATCACTGCTATAGCAGGATTTAATATTGGAAACTGAATTCCTGTTACTTTTAACACTTACCTTTGTGAACGAATTTGCACATTTTATCGTAGCATTCCGCGATTTAATAACTATAGCTTCAATCTATGTGATCTTTCTTGTGAACCGATATTTCAATCAATATAAAAACGTACTCTACATAGTTTTAAGTTGTTAAAAAATAAAGCTTTATAAGCGATAAACGTAATTGTCGTAGTATCCCATTTTATTATTATAATATTTAATATTTATCAAGAAAATACATGGAAGAACAATTTTGCCAAAGTATCTAAAAATTTAACTAGATACAGATCTGAAAATAATTTTATTAGGCTATAAAAATAATTATATAAAAAATGCTCAAACTGGTTATTAGAATGTCAAAACTTTTTGCAGCATTACTCATCATGCCTGAGATTCGTACATAATTATTTTGCTCCAATAAATTTTCCAATAAATTTTCAGATCTATATTTACCTAAATATCTAGATCCTCAAAACCGATCTCTCTCTGTATAAAGATATTTCGAAGGTATAATATTTGCAACATTATAATCATGACATTATAATCATGACATTCACTCTCTTGTGATTGGTACTACATTTTTACGTATTATGTATTATATTTAATATATTTTAATATAGTTTTATTTTTTTATGTAGAGCGCCTGCAGCCTTTGTTCGGTTTGCAAAAGAAAATATTACACATTGTAATGTATCATATGGCCATTATGTAATTGCAATTGCGATGCGGAAGAGGTACTTCGAGACAAAGAGAGATTCAATATGATGCTCGTGTCTGGTGAACGATACAAAGAAACTGACTTACGAGAAAAGTTCGTCCGCCTCTAGCGCGAGAAGAACTTCTGCGTATTGAATTTAAATTCGCGGCTGGCAGCAGCAGCAGTAGCAATAGTAGCTAGTATCATCTAATGTAACTCGGTTATGTGAATTTTATGAGGCCAAATGGAAGGTAGGAAAAACGCGTTTTATGAAAGCCGCTGATCGATTTATCTGACATTCCCGCGATGACAGACGCGACTAAAAATGGTTCCGCGATCTTCGCGCTTCGGAAATGCTTCGACATCTTTACAATGCGTAATACTGCAGTATCCTATAGAAAAATTATCTTCCCTTCATAACACAAGATATTATAGGTATCTATCAATTTTTATAAATGCGTGACAGTCACAAAGCAGCAATGCGGACAGTTATCAATAAATATATTGCTTTCTATTTAAATCAATATGTCACTTTAAAAGGTCAGTCGATTAAAAATGTTATTTCTCGATATTATCGGCAATCGTTTATAAATCATAAATTAACGTACTTTTAAAAAAAAATTTAAAACATGATATTTCATTCTGTATAAAACGATAGCTCGTTAGCAAAATGCGAAACAGATATTTGTTTCCGTGGCTGTTGAAAACCGACCATTGAAATACTCCAGTGAATAAAATGCTCTTCCTATAAACTATCGCGAACTATTTGCATTGCCACTGCATTGCGACGCTAATATAATTGGTTACGCAGATATGTGCGCTATAATTTATCGCAATTGCGACAACGTGAGATGCCACGCTCTAAGGAAAATAGCTTTTCCTTCAGAAGATGAGAGGAAGTTGAATTTTACGGTCGCGGTATGTGACGAAGATGTAGGACATATCGCGGCATGCCGCGAGAAGTCGGCAATTTTGTTGACTGAATTTTACGAGTTATTTAAAGAGTGATGTATATACATAAACACTAAGTAAGCCATTTGTAAAATATATTGCGAAATTTCTGTTCGCTAAATGTCAATGACTGAATAAATTGAAACAAACAGAATTTACTGACATGCCATTACCAATAAATATTATGACGCCATTTCCGAATATGTTTATGAAAAGTTTTCTTTCTCTCTCTTTTATTTTAAAATTGAAATATTCAAATTTCATATTTTTATTTATTATAATATTTATGATATCTAATGTCAATTTATATGCAAAAAATATTTTTTTTCTATTTTATAAATTATGTTATTAATTTTTTGTATCTTATATTTTGACACAGATGCAAAATATAAAAAATATAATGTTATATTTAAAAATATTAACGTAACATAAGAAGGTGATTATAGCAGAGTTTTAGCGATTTTAATTCTCTGGATATTAATTGGAATCTTAAATTTTTTATTAATAAAAATATATTGAAAAATCAGTAAATTTCAAGACATACATAACAAAATTTTGATATAATACAATTTCTTATATATAAATAATATATATTGATTTCTAGAACATTGCAATTATTATAATTCTTTTTTATTTTAATATAAAAATTTGTACAATTGATTTTAATAACACTAATAATATCTAAAACGATTAATTAAATGTAATTTTAAAATATAATAACGTTAATGGCGTCAACTTTGTTTTGATTCGAAAATGAAAATTAATTTATTATTATACATTATTTTTTCAAATATTTTTAATGATAATTTTTAATGATAATTTAATCTCTCATTATCCTATTTCATTAAAATTGCTTTATATTTTACTTTATCCGTTAAAAAATTTGAAAAAAAGATTAATCCGAAAAAAAACGTTAATATCGCATACATTTCTTTTTTTGTAAGAAGATAACTTTAATCTTGTTATTTTAATGTATGTTGAGTTTACTATGTAACGTGTATAACAGTTCGTTTGTCATAACTAGTTTAAATTACAAGAAACGAAATATACAATGAAATTTATTTTCTACATTAAACTTCTGTGAAACTCCTGTTGGGATCTTGGTGTTTGCGTTGTTATGACACGTATTACACGTACGCAAAGCCAAGTATATGTATCATTTGTATGATGAGACTTGAGCGGGCAATTCTCTTTCATGTTTATTATTTTTTAAGACGCGATCATAGCAAGTACTAATAAAGACATCAAGCCTGATAATTCTCTATTAATAATTAGGGATAATTTGTTTTATACTCTTTGTAGCTGTTTTATAGGTATCTATCTGATATATGGTATTGAAGTCTCGATTTTTACGGCGCAAAAAATGTGCTATTACAAACATTACACGATTATTGTCCGCGAATAATTATTAATAATTATTAATAATTAACAATCAATAACTCGTGATCACACACACACACACACACACACACACACACACACACACACACACACACACACACACACAAAATTGACTTACTTTTAATTGATAAATATCTCCTAAA